TCTAAAAAATACAGTTCATTAAAAAACAATAAAATCCATTTGAATTGGAAATACTAGTACACATTTATGATTTGTTTTTTCCTCCCTAAAAAAGTATTCCATTTCCTAGCAATACCCACAGACACAGTTTGGAAATGATATCAGCAGGCAGCAATCTAATCTAAGCAATCTAACCCATATAGTGCCTAAATTGTGGTCTGCAAACATTTCCCACTAAAAGTAACCAGAACTGCTTCTTCAACAAATTAGTTAATCCAAGTCTGTGGCATAAGATGTACAAAACAGCGCTAGAACTATTAAAAAAAAAAAAACAAAAAACTACTAGGGTCTCATCAAAACAACAAGATGACAGGGCTCCAACCAGTTCAAGTGCAGTGGTTCACACCTGTAAACCCAGCATTTTGGGAGGCTGATTACAGGTTCACACCAGTAATCCCAGCATTTCGGGAGGCTGAGGACTGCTTGAGGCCAGAAGTTTGAGATCAGCCTGGGCAACACAGAGAGACTCTGTCTCTACCAAAAAAAGAAAAAAAAAAAAAAAAAAGCCAGATGTGGTGGTGCGTGCCTGTAGTCCTAGCTACTTGGAGGCCAAAGTGAGTGCATTGCTTGAGCACAGGAAATTGAGAGTGCAGTGAGTTATAGTCATACCACTGCACTCCAGACTGAACAACAGAGCAAGACTATGACTCTAAAAAGTAAAAAATGAAAAATGAAAAGGTCCCAACTGGCTAAAGCTGGGCTATTTTGAGTATTAAAAGATGTAACACTTTGATGAACTAAAAAGCATCAGACATATAAAATATCTAAATATCTAAATTCCTAACAATATTTTCACCCACTCAGAAGAAAAGCTTATTGGTCATTCTTGGAGGTTGCTGTGGTATCAGCTCATTGTGCTATAAACTAAGGAATCAAGTGAAAGAATCCAGTATCTGTCTTGCCTTTGTTATAGGCTTTTTCAGAGTAACCACACAATTGATGAGGAGGTTCTTTGTAAAGGATCCATAGCTAGTAAATGCAGGAAAAAAAAGGGTAGAATTTTATGAATCATCATTTTGCAATCTTTAGTGAAATAATGACATTAGGCAACAATCACCAATGACTGCTGAAACATTAAATGGAAAGATAATGAGGAATTTTCTAGTGGCGCGATCAAGCTGACAACACCTGGGCTGACAGGTCAATCTTAGCATCACTGAAGCAATGGTCTTCCTACCCAAAAAGGGAAAAGGTTGAACCTGAATCTATCCAGCCTGTAGCTCTAACCTTTAGAGAGCTTTAGCTCTACGAACTCACAGAAAATATGAACATGTTAAATGACAGCAAAATCCAAAATGCATAAAATTTTAAGACATACGACCCAGATAACTTGAACAAATAAATGGCATAAAATAAGGAAAGGGGGATGTTATAGACTTAAGGAAACTGAAGAAACATACCACAGGCAAAATATAGACCTATTTTTCATTCCTGTTTCAAACAAAATAACTATAAAAAGACAATTCCATAAGAAGAAGAGGAAAAAAAAAACACACAAAAACCCAAAGCTAGCAAAAGACAGTAAAAGATTAGAGCAGAAATAAACAAAAGAGAATAGAAAGATAGTAGGAAAAAAAAAGAGTTGGTTTTTGAAAAAAAAATCAACAAAATTGAGAAATTTAACTAGATTTAAAAATATATATATAAAAATAAATCAGAAATGAAGAGAGGGCATTATAACTGATGCCACAGAAATAAAGGATTGTAAGAGAATAGCATGAACAACTGTATGCCAACAAATTGGATAACCTAGGAGATATGGATAAATTTCTAGACACACCCAGCCCACCAAGACTGAATCATGAAGAAACAGAAAATCTGTACAGACTAATAGCTATTAAAAAGATTGAATCAGTAATCAAAAACCTCAAAGAGGCTGGGCACAGTGTCTCCCGTCTGTAATCCCAGCACTTTGGGAGGTGGAGACGGCCAGATCATTTGAGGTAGGAGTTTGAGACCAGCCTGGCCGACATGGTGAAAACCCGTCTCTACTAAAAATACAAAAATTAGCCAGGCGTGGTGGCGCATGCCTGTGGTCCTAGCCACTTGGGAGGCTGAGGAAGGAGAATCGCTTGAGCCCGGGAGGCGGAGGTTGCAGTGAGCCAAGATCATGCCTCTGCACTCCAGCCTGGGCGACAGAGCAAGACTACGTGTCAGCATGTACGCACGTGCGTGTGCGCACACACACACACACAAACCTCAAAGAAAAACCTAGAACCAAATGGCTTCACTGGAGAATTCTACCAAACATTTAAAGAAGAATTAATACCAATCCTCCTGAAACTCTTACAAAAGTTGAAGAGAAGGAACATTTCCAAATTTATTCTATGAGACCAATATTATCCTAATACTAAAGCCAGACAAATACATTACAAGAAAACTACAGTATGATAATATTCCTAGTGAATATTGATGTAAAAATCCTCAACAAAATACTAGCAAACTGAATTCAACAATGCATTAAAAGGATTATATACTATGATCAAGTGGGATTTATTCCTAAAATGCAAGAATGGTTTAACATATAAAAATCAATCAATGTAATACATCAAATTAACAGAATAAAGGGCAAAAACCACATGATAATCTAAATTGAGGCAGAGAAAGCATGACAAGATTCAACACCCTTTCATGATTTAAAAAAACCCAACAACTCAACAAATGCAAAATAGAAGAAAACTACCTCCACATCATAAAGTCCACATGTGAAAAGCCCACAGCTAACATCATACTCAACAGTGAAAGGCTGCAAGCTTTTCCTCTAAGATCAGGAACAAGACAAGATGTCTGCTTTTGCCACGTCTACTCAAATAGTTTTGGAAGTCCTAGTCAGAGCAACTAGAAATAAAAGGCATTCAAATTAGAAAGGAGATGTAAAATGATCTGTTTGCGGATGACATAATCTTAGATGAAGGAAACCCTAAAGATTACACACACACACACACACACACAACACTGTTAGAACTAATAAATGAATTCAGCAAAGTTGCAGGATACAACAGCAACACACCAAAATCAGTTGCATCTCTATACACTAAAAATGAACAATCCTAAATGGAATTTTTAAAAATTCCATTTAAAAAAGCATCAAAAAGAATAAAATACTTAGAAATAGGCCTAAGGTGAAAGACGACACTGAAAACTACAAAACACTGTTAAAAGAAATTAAAGATACAAACAAATGGAAAAAACATCCTATGTTCATGGAGTGGAAGATTCATATTGTTAAGATGTTCATACTACCCAAAGTGATTTACAGATTCAACACAATCCCTATAAAAATCCCAATAGCATTTCTTGTAGAAATAGAAAAATTTATCCTAAAATTCATACAGAATCTAAATAGACACCAAATAGACAAAACAGTCTTGAAAAAGAAGAGCAAAGTTGAAAGACTCATACCTCCTGATTTCAAAACAAAGCTATAGTAATCAAAATAACATGGTAACGGCATAAAGACAGACAAATAGAGCAAGGAAAGAGAATAGAACACCCAGAAATAAACCCTTGTGTATATGGTCAAATGATTTTCAACAAAGATGCCAAGACCTCTTGATGAGAAAAGGACAATTTCTTCAGAAAACAGTGCTGGGAAATCTGGATATTCACATGCAAGAGAATGAAGTTGGACCCTTATCTTACACTATACACAAAAGTTAATTCAATATGGGTTAAAGACCTAAACATAAGACCCGAAACTATAACACTCCTAGAAGAAAACATGGGGAAAAAAGCTACATGATATTGAATTTGGCAATGATTTTTTGGATATGATGCCAAAAGCACAAACACAAAAGTGAAAATAGAGAAATGGGCCTACATCAGACTTTAAAACTCTGTGCATCAAAGGTCACAATGAGTGAAAAGGCAATGTACAGAACTGAAGAAAATATCTGCAAATTACATATTTGATAAGGGGTTAATATCCAGAATACATAAAGAACTCCTACATCTCCACAACAATAAATTAAATAATCTGATTTAAAGATAGGCAAAGGACTTGAATAGACATTTCTCCAAAGAAGGTATACAAGTGGCCAACAAGCCCATGAAAACATGCTCAACATGGATAAACAAAATGTGGCATAAAAATACAACAGAATATTACTGTGGTCCAGCCTTAAAAAGAATAGAAATCCAGTCACGTGCCACAACCTTAAGGTCATTATACTAACTGAAACAAGCCCGCCACAAAAAGACAAAAACTGCATGATTTCACTTCTATGAGGTATCTAAAGTAGTCAAAGCCATAGAAACAGAAAATAGAACTGTGGTCACCAGGGGTTGGAGGAAAGGGGAAATGGAGCCTTGTTGCTCAATGGGTCTATAGAGTTGCAAGATGAAAAAGTTCTACAGATCAATTAGATCAATTTCACAACAATGTGAATATACTTAACACTGTTGAACTGTTCACTTAAAAATGGTTAAGATCAACAACAACAACAAAAAGAACAAAAAAAAAATGGTTAAGATAGTCAATTTTTTGCCACAATAAAACATATAATTGAGATAATCAGGAAAAACTAAACACTAACTCTTCACACAATTAATTGCATTTGAATCCTATACTCATTTGTGACAGGTACAGCTACTTAATACTCAGACAGTGGAAAGAACACTTCTTTAAAGAGGTCAAAAATCTGGCTACTAGCCCCAAATCTCCTAACTAGCTATTAGATGATATTCAAGAATCACTGTTAATTTCATTGGATATGATAATGACATTATAGGTATGCTTTTTGAAAAAGGATTCATACTGAAGTAATTTTGGGGTAACATTATGTTTTCTATGATTTATCTTAATATACTCCAGCCAAAAAATAAAGAGTACAGGTGGGGCAGGGGTAGCCGAGAAAGGATGGCAGAATGGTCTTGTCATCCTTGTGAAAGCTGGGAGACAGGTACATGTACGAAAAGTTTAAAACAAACCAAACAAAATACGAGGGGAAAAAAAGCATGGATGGGTATTTGGTAGGAATGGAAGCAGGATTAATTTATTGAGATTTTGTAACAGCATCATATACTACAGATGCTATTGCTAATCTTCAAAAAGCATTGCATTTCAATTTGCATCTAACAGATTAAAAATAAAGAAGCAAATGAAATTGAAAGAATGATCAAGCTTCAAGTAATGTTTCTCACCACCTCCCCCAGCCACAAACAAACAAAAAAAAGAAGGTCAATGGTTTAAGAATGTTGAACAGAGGGAATAAAGGTGTCATGGAGTCTTGCCCACCAGGGCCAGAATCTGGACAGTGATGGAGAAATTTCTGCTGGAAAAATGTCCGCCGAGCCAGGGAATACAAACCAGATATGAGAGGGTGTTGATGTTGTTTCTCAGATACATGGGATGGACCTGTTTTCTTTCTGCTAATAGAAAGCAATCAGTCAAGCAAGGACTTCAGAGTGGATGAAGGGTATATAAGACCACACAATGATGGCATTCAAGAGAAAGAAAAGAGGTAAAGATGCAAAATTAAACAACAAAAAAAAGGACTTCATGAAAGCTAATTTCATCAAGCCCAGGTCACTGATAAGAAAGATGCAAAATCAAGAAATCAGTGAAATAACACACGACAGGTGAGTCAAACATTACCAGTGGCACCAAACAGTGGAAGTGAAATGGCACCATGGAGCCCACCTGGTGAAATCCAAAGCGAGAACTGAAAGGGAGGAAGGATGATTCACAAAATGCAGTCGGGTCACAAGAAAAGTGAGTTTGGAAGGAAAGGGAAGAGAGAAAAGAATAAGGAAACCACCAAAATTTCAACTCAAAGATACATTTTAAACTGCATGGGATGGCCCACTGTCAATACTGTGGCTGCCTGGGAACAAAAAGGGTGGTCTCCAGATCTCCCAGAACCGCACAATACACCAGGAGAACGAGGAGGAAAGGAAGAAACCCCCTTTGCCTGCCAGAATGCGCACAAGGGGAGGAAGGCAAACCCCCAGTAGTTGCTTTGACACATCACCGGCCCCAGCAGCAGGCAACTCGTTACCCACTCACATTCCTCAGGACTGGCTGCTTCATGAATCCTCCGGGCACCTGTGCCCAACACAGTTCCTTAGCAAGCTCCACTGGAAAGCTGAAAAATTAACATTGAGTGTTCACTGTGCACACTGTGCCATGTGGAACTCATGTACAAGGCTTGATGGATCCCTCCTGACAAAACAATCTTGAGGTAGATGCGATAATTATCCCCATTTTAGGGTTGATGGAAACCAAGGCTCAGTAAGGGAAAGTCACCCACCCACCGCTGCCCAACGAGTGAGTAGCAGGGTTAGCCTCTCCAGTCAAAGGGAGTTTCTTCAGTCCCCATCGGAGGAAGACTATCCATCACAAGCCTAAATCACCCAGCAGGAAACTGGCCCAGCCCTGTCTTCTCAGTGAGGCCTTTTCTAACGCAGGTGCTTATCTCCATCTCAGGATCAAAGGATCTGTTGCTTCCGGCAAAAGGGCCAGGCCAACATAATCCCTGCCTGGTTTTTCTATGGGTCTAGAAGCCAGCGGGGATGGCCCTATCATTTCGTGGCCAGAGCCCAAGGGCAGCTCTTATAGGGTCAGGCAAGTGGGTTGGAAGCCACCTAGCAGGAAGAACAGTCTCTGCATTCCACAGCCAGGCCCAGGGAGAGGAGTCTGCAGGCCCTGCCAGAGGCACACAGCACTGCCACTCCCATGCAGGCCTCATCTCCCCCACTGACAGAGTGAACGCGGCTGCTCACAGAAAAATCAAACCCAAACATGGGGTTGGAGGTGGAGGGTTCCAGTTTCCTGACTCTTCTTCAAATGTAAGACATCCTACACTGAAACTAGCTGACTCCCTTCCAGGCTCGAGTCCATGCCGGTATGGGTAAGTTGAAATCAGCCTCAAGCAAACCACTTAGAAAGAGCATGGGGTCCTAGGCCCTTGTTCATTCTCTCTGCACTGTGAATTGGTGAACTGCATTTGAATCCCGCGCTCACCTGCAACAGACCACCTGCAACAGATGCAGCTACTTCATCACCACATGGTGGAAAAGCACCGCTTTTACTGGGCGGTAAAAGACCTGGTTTCTAGCCCCAAATCTCCTACACATCTTGTCATAATGCCTGTGCCCTATCTCTCTTTGCCTTGGTTTCCTCATCTCCAAATAGGGAAAAGCAGCCTGTCCCCAATTAGCTTCCCAAAGGGTTGTATAAAATGAGGCAAGGGAGGCAAAGCCTTCCGAATTCCTAAGCAGCCACGTTCCCACCATCACCGACCACGGCGCCCATAGTTCTTCTCCCCCGACCTTGCCCCCAAAGGCCCAGGAGCACAGACAGTTAAATAGCATCCCTCAAGGCCTGGAACAGGAGGAGCTTTGCATTCCAGTAGATTTTGCTGATGCCCTCAATAGAGGTGATCCTGATAGAAGCAGAGGAAAAGAAAATATTCTTCTCTAGCAGCCAGAGGGCCCTTCCATCTTGCCTGTTCTCCCAAATTACCTGGCAACACTGCCCCTTCCCCAGAACGGCTCTGGATCAATGATTCTGGAAACCAATTAAGTCCTAAAGACAGTTTTAAAACACCAAGAGAAAAATGCTCCTGCTCCTCCTCAGTCCCACCTTCTAGAGGTATTCCTTTCTAGCAACCCCAAGGGAAGGTTCATCCCTTGGAGCTCTGCAGGAGAAGGTCCCCACTCCACACCACCTGGAAAATAGAGGGGAGTGCTCATATATGTGACCTTAGTGATCTCACAAGTGCATCAAAAAAAGCAACCGGCCAAGGAAACGGTTAAACCAGCCTCAACATGCCAGGCAGCCCCACCACGAGTCACTGTTTGAATCAGGCTTGTGACCAAGGATGTGTAGGCAAGGCTGGGTGGGCAAGGCTGGAGGGGAAAAGCAGGCAAACCACTCTGAAGCAGGATGGAGGGTCGAGGGCAAGGGCAGGGCAGAGGTGCACAGGGCAGGGCCGGTTCAGGGAGACCGCCGCAGGATGAGCTCTGTGATCTCCGCCCTGCTACCCAACCTCATGGGTATCCCGTAGTAGGCTGTGCCCGGGCTGACATATACGAATGTAGCCTGGGCCACTTGGTAGAGACCAGCAAAGAAGGGATTCAGGAGGTAGGCTGCTACGTTCAAGGGGAAGATCTGCCCAGCATGTGTGTGCCCAGAAAGGATCAGGTTAATATCTGGCCGAGCCTGGAGAGCTCTCTTGGCAGCCAGGGGCTGGTGAGCTAGCAAGATGATTGTGTGGTCTGGGCTGCAGCCCTCCAGGGCCTTGTCAAGATCCATGCCATGGCCAGAGTAGTGCAGGATGTCTGCTTCAATATCGTCCACCCCAGCCAAGCAGATCCAGTCCTCATCCTCACTCCCACCGCCACTGCCACCACCACCCCGTTGGGCCCGTGTGGCGGAAATCTTCACATTCTCATTATGAAGAGGCTGGACATGCAGGGATTCCAGAAGTGCAAACCAGTTGCTGACATCTGACGTGTAGTACTCATGATTGCCTGTGACGAAGTAGGCACCGAGACGTGAATGAAGCTGGCCCAGAGGGGCGACAGCCGTCCGCAGGACCGAGGCTTCCGAGTCGGAGAGGTCACCCACGATCACGGTGACGTCTGGTTCCAGCACATTCACCATCCCCACAAACATCTCCATCTTGGTCCTGCCCACTGTGGGGCCCAAGTGAATGTCTGAGAGGAGCACGATCTTGAGGTTGTTCATTGAGGCGGGCAGCTGATGGATGGGCACCTCCACAGTTTTCACAGCCGGGGGCTGCGCAGCATTCAGAATCCCGGCCACGCTGAGCACAGCAGTCACTCCCACTGCCAGGGCAGGCCTGAGCACCAGCTTCCTTGTCTTGTCAAGGCTGCCCACGACCCTACCACTGCGCCAGGCCAAGAGCTGGTAGGCCTGCTCCATGCCGCTGAGGATGCAGAGGAAGAAGAGCATGATGATGTAAGCACCCAGGCAGGAGTAGGCTGCCAAGGAAAACAGATAGGGCTCCTCGGCCACTAAAAAGAACATGGTGAAGAAACTGGAATGGGCCAGGGCCAGAAATGCCAGAACCACCACCTTCCAAAGCTGAAAACAGGTTGACTCCGCAACTGGGGAGTGGCAGAGGTTGCTAACTGTGCTGCGCCAAATGTAGAGGGAGCCAATGAGCAAGAGCGAGTTGACAAACAGGGCAAGCTGCAAGCGAAGCAGCCAACGCCAGGCCCTGAGCTCAAGGCTGTCTGCCAGATACGAGCGGGAGGCGATCATGGACACGAAGACAGTGATGGCAGCCAGGGTGGCCTTCGTGCCTAGGGACAGCTGCCTGAAGATGGCCATTTTCTCTGCTCCTAGGAGGCTCCCCCACCAGTTCTGTGCTGGTGGACTCTGGAAATGAGTTCCTTAGAAAGGACAGTGGCCAAGGAGAGGTTTCCAAGTCAACTCCGCCTGCAACCAGGAACCAGCATCAGCTTTGTGGGATATTAGAGCATCCTTGTACCCATTCAAAACTCAAAGGCCACTTACATCTGCCCAACCCACCTTGAATCCAAGCCACTCAAATACCAGTGAGTTGCTAGCTATACTTTATGATTCAAAAAGAAACTCACAGCATTGTGACATGATGGGCAGTTTTCATTTTCTTACCACATTTTCTATACGTTTCAAGTTTCTCTACAGTGAGCATGCACTTGTTTTATAAGAATGTTCCAAATCAGCGGTATTCAAAGTGCGGTCTGGAGAGAGCCCTTCAGGGGTCCAATTAGTCAAAACTATTTTTATTATAATTCCAAGCCATTACTGCCTTTTCCATTCTCACTCTGTCCTGAGGGTGGAATTTTCCAGAGGCTATGTGACATGTGATATGGCAACAGATTTCATGCAGAAATAAACATGAAAATTTGACTGTCTTCTATTAAGAGACAATGAAAGAGATTTGCAGAAATGTAAAACAGTGCAACTCTTCACCCTAAAATTTGGGGAGAAATACTATTGTTTTTCAAATATATATAGTTTATTAATGTATAATGATGTATTATTTCTTAACAAATAGTTTAAAATATTCTCTAGGGCTGGGCACAGTGGCTCACGCCTATAATCCCAGCACTTTGGGAGACCGAGGCAGACAGATTACCTGAGGTCAGGAGTTCAAGACCAGCCTGGCCAACATGGTAAAACCCTGTTTCTACTAAGAATTCAAAACTTAGCCAGGCATGGTGGCGGGCACATGTAATCCCAGCTACTCGGGAGGCTGAGGCAGGAGAACCACTTGAACCTGGGAGGTGGAAGTTGCAGTGAGCCAAGATCATGCCACTGCACTCCAGCCTGGGTGAAAGAGTGAGACTCTGTCTCAAAAAAAAAAAAAAAAAAAAAAAAAAAAGGAAGAAAATATTCTCTTAATTTCTAGGACAGCTAAAATTTAGTTAAAATTTGAGAACCGCTGGGTCACGAGGTCAGGAGATCAAGACCATCCTGGCTAACACAGTGAAACCCTGTCTCTACTAAAAATACAAAAAAAAAAAAACCAAAAAAAAATTAGTTGGGTGTGGTGGCGGGCACCTGTAGTCCCAGCTACTTGGGAGGCTGAGGCAGGAGAATGTCTTGGACGGTAAAGAAATGTAAATAAGGAGATAATGAAAAGCTAGACTGCTAATATCTTTCTTCAGCTGTGGGCACAGGAGCCCAAGAGGGACACCTAGGCACCTGACATGAGAATTCCTGGGGTGATGCCAGCCTCCCTGTGTGGGCCTCAGGTATGGTAGCCACAGGGCATCCACCCTGACCCAATGATGCTGCACTAGACTGATGAGCTTACATCAGACAGACTGACCCTGTCCACCTGCTCCTGGTTCATAAATCCTTCTCTCTCTCTCTACCCCCACTCCCAGATACTGGTTAAAATCTGCCTTTCCCCCAGCCCCTTACCCTGCCACTGTTCTCCTGAACTGTGCCCCAGTTCCACCTTCCCCAGTGGTTCTCACAGCTGGCTAGCTCTGACTCCTAAGGTCCTACGGGCCTTCTGGACAAGAACTCTGTCTACATACTGGGGTAGGGGAACCACAGACGGGGTGAAGAGGGAAAAGTAAATAATCTGTGCTGACTTTTTCCCAAAATGAAAACATTTTCAGCAGCTGTTTTCCAAATACTTAAGATGTTCAATCTTGGTTGTAGATAAATGTACCACTTTTCTCTGCACTAGGCGCGTTATTGAAAGCCCTATTAAAGGGTGTAACTTACAAGTCAACGGTGTCAAATGCCACCAGCTCTTAAAGCGTGCTGCAGGCTCGGCCCACCTACACCCTGAAGGAACCAAAGTTGGTCCGCGGAACGTGCAGAGGAGCAGCTTGCAACTATCCACTCTCCTTTCCGCAGGTCTGATGCAAACCTCCCCAGGCAGCGCTTAGGAACCCCCTAAGCCCCTCGCCTCAGCTCAGACGAAGCGAGTGAAGCTGCCCTTACTCTCCCACCAAACGTGCACGCCCCGCACCTCACCTATTCGCCTCGCCAGACCTCCCCCCATCAATGCTGCGATGCCCCGGCAGCCTGCCTATTCCCCCACGCAACCTGGACCCCCAAACGCCGAAGGAAAAGGGTCCCACAAATACGAAGAAAAACCGGAGCCAAAGGGCAGGCGACGGGGAGTGGTGAGAAGGCAACAAGATGCACGAAGAGGGCGAGCACCCAGAGGGAAAATAACCCAGTGCTCCCACAGCAGGGGCCTCTTCTGACCCCATTTTTCTCCTTCCGGAGCGCTCCGCAGAGCACGAACTGGGAAAGCGAGGGCGCCCCAAACCAGAACCCGAGGCACCCTCTAACCCGCGCAACTTGGAATCCCCTCCCGGAAAGCCAACTAAGGAAATCTTTAGGCGCACCTCGTCTCACCACCTCGTTACAGATAGGGAAGTGGGTCCAAGCGCAGAGGGCAGCCGGAGCGGAACGCACAAGCGACCGAGCTGCCTGGAAGGACGCGCGCCCCGCCCGGCCCGCCCCCGACGGGAAGGCCGGTCCACTGCCTGCGTTCCGCCGGCCGCCTGCCTGCTGGGGGGCACTTCGGGGCTCAGGCTCTCCGCCCTGCGGGACCCCGGGTGGCTGCGGCCCGAGCCCGGTTCCCCGCCAGCCTGTCCCCTAGCAATGCCTCCCCGTACCCGAGTCCCGCAGACTTACCTGCAAGCCGCGCGTAGGGCCCAGAGGCAGCAGAGCCAGCAGCAGAGGGAGGATGCGAACCAGGAACCCCGGCATGACCACCAGTCTCCCGGCTCTGCAGTCGGCGCCCAGGCCTGCCGCTCCGCGTCACTTGACTAAGGACCCGCGGCCTGGCACCGCCCCTCGTCCGCCCAGCAGCCAGCCCTCGCGCCTGCTCAGCCCCGCGCTCCGCCCCGCTGTGGCCGAGCCGGGCGGGTGGGGGCGGCTAGGAGGCTGCGCGCGGCCGCGTGACTCCAGGATAGTACTATCTGGGTTTTGCAGGCGTCTTGCCTGGGAGAGGACCCTTTGTAACGGCAATCGGGAGGCCCTGCTTTCAGCAGCTTGATAACGCGCCTCAGAGATTGGTCTCCTTGTTTTCTGGCTTCCTTGAGAGAGCAGAAGAGGGAAATTGTTAATTACTAAACCTAAACGCCCTAGATCAAGTCCGCGTATCATATACGGGCTCTTTGAATAATTCTAAACTAGGGGTAAGCAAAATGTGGTCGGTCCCTGGAGCCACTGTATCAACTCACCTGGAACTTGTTAGAATGAAAATTCTGCTCACGCCTGTAATCCCAGCACTTGGGAGGTCGAGGCGGGCGGATCGCCTGAGGTCAGAAGTTCCAGACCAGCCTGACCAATATGATGAAACCGCGTCTCTACTAAAAATACAAAAATTAGCCGGGCGTGGTGGCATGCGCCTGTAATCCCATCTACTGGGGAGGTTGAGACAGGAGAATCACTTGAACCCAGGAGGCGGAGGTTGTGGTGAGCCCAGATCGAGCCATTGCGCTCCAGCCTGGGCAACAAGAGTGAAATTCCGTCTCAAAAAAAAAAGTTAAAAAAAAAAACAAACCTTAGTTTGTGCCTTAGTGTTCCAAAAAGCCTTTTACATTGTATAACAAAGTAGCCAAAAATTCTATTTGTTCACTCCTTTCTCCTTTCCTACCGGACATTTCCTTGAGAGATTAAGAAAGTATCAGTCACTGGCTTTTCTTCCTCAGGTTTTTGTTTTTTGGTTTGGGGGTTGTTTTTTTTGTTTTGATTTTGTTTTTTTGAGACAGGTTCTCACTCTGTCTCCCAGGCTGGAGTGCAGTGGCGCGAACACGGCTTACTGCAGCTTTGGCCTCCTGGGCTCAAGCAATTCTCCCGTCTCAGCCTACCAAGCAGCTGGAACTACAGGCGCGCACCACCACACCCGGCTAATTTTTGTATTTTTTGTAGAGGCAGGGTCTCACCACGTTACCCAGGCAGGTCTTGAATTTCTGGGATCAGACAATCTGCCTGCCTGCACCTCCCAAAATGCTGGAATTACAGACATGAGCCTCCGTGCCTGTCTTCTTTTCGTGCCTGGAGTACCAATTCCGTGTGCTTGCACTGTGAAGTCCTTTCCAAGCTCTCCAATTCTAGTTCAGTATTAAAGAACAAGGGCTCTGGTGGCAGTACACTTGAGTTGGAATTCCATCTCTGCCACTTACGATCTGTGTGACTGTGGGCAAATTAACCTCTCTGAGCTTAGTTTCTTTGTTGGTAAAACAGGGATAATAATATCAAATTCACTGGATAATTGAGGAAATTACTAGCGATGATGACGATAAGAAGCTTGGCATATACAGGATGTTAGTGGGACAGTTGCTGAAATCACAATTACACTTGTAGGCTAGATTAGTACCATGCATCAATGTTCATTTCCTTTTTGGGGGGTGGGAGGACAGAGTCTCACTCTGTCACCCAGGCTGGAGTGCAGTCGCACAATCTCGGCTCACTGCAACCTCCGCCTCCCAGGTTCAAGTGATTCTCCCGCCTCAGCCTCCCAAGTAGCTGGGATTACAGGAACCCACCATTAGGCTCGGCTAATCTTTGTATTTTTAGTAGAGATGGGGTTTCACCACGTTGGCCAGGCTGGTCTCGAACTCCTGACCTCAAGTGATTTTCCCACCTCGGCCTCCCAAAGTGCTGGGATTACAGGCATGAGCCACTGTGCCCGGCTGCATCAATGTTAACTTTCTGATTTTGATAATGTTACACGCTCTAAATATGAAATAATAGTTTTGTATTGGTGTATTGATTTGGGTAATGGTAATGGTAACTTTGGTAATGGTTATATAAAAGAACATCCTTGTTTTTTAGGAAACAAAAGGGCATCATCTTTGCAACTGATTCTCAAACAGTTCACAAAAAAAAAAAAAAAAAACTGTAGAGAGAGAGAAATGGTATTCCAGGCATGAAAAGAACCTGAGAAAGAAAAGCAAATGTGGTAAAATGTTAACATTTGGAAAATCAATGAAGGAGTTCTTTTTACTCTTTTTTTCAACTTTTTGTTTCTAAGCCTGAAATTATTGCAAATGAAGTTTAAAAACAAAACAAAACAAAAATTCTTACCACAAGGCAGATTCAACTTTTTCTACCTTCTTTCCTACTTTGTACACTCAAGGTTATCATATGCAATAGGTATTTTTCACTAAATTGAGGTCGAAAGGGTTTAGAGCAGGAGTTGGCAAACTAAGGACAGAGGATCAAATTTGGCCTGTTGCCTGTTTTTTTCTTTTTTAAAATTATTTTTATTAAGAATCTGCACAATTTGCTGCCAGTTTTTCTATGGCCTGCCAGCTAAAAATAGGTTTTACATTTTTAAATGAATGAAAAAAACCAAAAGAATAATATTTTATGACATTTGAAAATGATGTAAGTTTCCTGTGTCAGTGTCCATAAATAAAGTTTTGTGGGGTTGGTTTTTGTTTTTATGTTTTTCGTTTTTTTGAGACACAGTCTTGCTCTGTCACCCAGGCTGGAGTGCAGTGGTGTGATCATAGCTCACAGCAGCCTTGAACTCCTGGGTTCAAGCAGTCCTCCCATGTCAGCCTCTTGAGTAGCTGAGTAGCTGGGACTACAGGCGAGTGTCACCATGCCTGAATAATGTTTTTTTTCCCCTAAAGATGAGATCTTGCCTTGTTGCCAGAGTTGGTCTTGAACTCCTGGCCTCAAGCAGTCTGCCCGCTTTGGCTCCCAAAGTGCCAAGATTACACATAAATTGTTTTCTTAGAACACAGCCACCTGCAATCCTCTGCATATTGCATATGGCTGCTTTCATGCTACATTGGCAGAATGGCGTCAATGCAACACAGATCTTAGGACCTACAAAACTGAATATATTTATGTTCTAGCCCTTTACATAAATATATTTAAGCTTGCCAAAGGAATATAGATTGTAGTTTGTTTCTGAGATTTTTAGTACTTGACTATGTATTGTAGTTGAAATAGCAATAGTAGTAATAGCCATCATTGTGCTGAATGCTTTACCAGTATGTGTCACTATTGCTCCCAATCCGAGCTACATGCTATTATCCGCATTTCACAGATGAGAAAGCTGAGACCCAGAGGAGTTAAATGACTTGCCAATAGCCACAGAGTTGGGAAGTAGTCGAGTCTCTAAAGTTACATTGCCTGATGTTAGGGCCTGAGTTATTTTCACAAGGCTATGCTTCTGCCCGTAGTGTACTGTTTAGTTCCCGTTTAAATGCACAGAGTGTGCTGGATGCAAAGTCCCTGCATACTAGAGAATATGAAGGGACCATGAGAAGGCTGTCACCTTGTGGGAACTCATCTGTAAATGTGGTACATGCTCTAATATAGACCAGTACTTCTCAAAGTCTGATCCTCAGACCAGTGCTGTGCAATAAGTACAGAAATTCAGCCTAGGCACTTAGAAGCTTGGAGCAATTTAAGAAAGTAAGTCTATCTGTTGAATCTAATAATGAACAAAATTATTATACACCTATTTTTATTTTATTGTTCTAGTTTTTTTTTTTTTTTTTTTTTTTTTTTTTTTTTTTAGACAGAGTTTCGCTTTTGTTGCCCAAGCGGGAGTGCAATGGCGCAATCTCGGCTCACTGCAACCTCCACCTCTTAGGTTCAAGCAAGTCTCCTGCCTCAGCCTACCGAGTAGCTGGGATTACAGGCGTGCGTCACCACGCCCAGCTAATTTTATATTTTTAGTAGAGATGGGGTTTCTCCATGTTGGTCAGGCTGGTCTCAAACTCCTGATCTCAGGTGATCCACCTGCCTCGGCCTCCCAAAGTGCTGGGATTAGAGGTGTGAGCCACCGCGCCTGGCGTCTAGTAGTTTTTGTTTGCTTCTTTGTTTTTGAGACAGTTTCACTTTGTTGCCCAGACTGGAGCACAGTGACATGATCTTGGCTCACTGCAACCTCCACCTCCCGGGTTCATGCGATTAAACCTCAGCCTCCTGAGTAGCTGGGACTACAGGTGCACACCACCATGCCAGGCTGATTTGTTCGTATTTTAATAGAGATGGGGTTTCACCATGTTGCCCAGGCTGGTCTTGAGCTCCTGAGCTCAGGCCATCCACCCCCCTCAGCCTTCCAAAGTGCTAGGACTACAGGCATGAACCACCTCACCCAGCCTATTTTTCTAATAATTTATTTTTATTGAATTTTTTGGAAAGGATCAATCCTTGATAGACAGGAAAGAGCACTAATAATTTAGAAAACAAAACAAAACAACAACAAAAAAAATAAGGCCGGGCGCGGTGGCTCACACCTGTAATCCCAGCACTTTGGGAGGCCAAGGCAGGTGGATCGCGAGGTCAGGAGATCGAGACCATCTTGACTAACATGGTGAAACCCGTCTCTACTAAAAATACAAAAAATTAGCCAGGCGTGGTGGCGGGTGCCTGTAGTCCCAGCTACTTGGGAGGCTGAGGCAGGAGAATGGCGTGAACCCAGGAGGCGGAGGTTGCAGTGAGCTGAGATGGCACCACTGCACTCTAGCCTGGGCAACAGAGCGTGACTCTATCTCAAAAACAAACAAACAAACAAACAAACAAAACCAAAAAAAAACCCAGAACTGATCCTTTACCAAAGATAGTTTGAGAAGCACAGAGGCCTCGTCAGTAGCATAAGAACAATGAGAGGGAGAAAAATGTGTGGCCCCAAAACATAGGAAAACT